TTAGTGATGAATTGTTTCTTATACAGCATTCATGAAATATAGATGATTCTGTTTTTATGCCAATCATTGCAATATTAACAAAAGTGTAAACCTGCCTCTCTAGAGCCATTAGTTCCCTAGTATTTTATAAGGTTTTTCCTGAGTTACCCAGCCATCATTTAGGATATGTCATGCCTATCTGCATTCCCCCAGAGGGTGACTTATATATTATTACAATAATATATATTAGAGCTATGCATCATTCTGAATTTCTAGACATAGCAGCCATCTGCAATTCTTTAAAACAGCCATGCTTTAAAGAAGCCTCATTTTAAAGACTTCATTTCAAAAAACAATAATAATTGTGAAGAGGTCTGGACCATCTACCCTGTAGTGAGATTACCTCCTTTGGTGATGACCTCTTGGAATTCACTTCAGCCAAGCAAATCTGGCTTAAATGCACATTTCTGGATATGGGCTCCATTTGCACAACATGGAAAGTCAGGTTATTTTTAAATCTGGCATACCATTCAAAACTGAACCTTACATAAAGCTGTAGTTAAACCAAAGTGGAGTAACACTCCCTGTCTCCATCTTCCAGGGGTTGTTAGTGGTTTGTGTCAGCCCCTTCAAACTAAATGAGGTCAGGAAAGCTACTTTATTGTTGTAAGGTATATTAACAGAATCTTGAAAGCCTGTCCAAGTTTCTCTTTGTTCCTTTTTATGCTAAACAACATCAAGAGACAAATATTTAGAGTTTCATTCTCATGTTTCTTTCTGCCTCTGGACTGTGTAATCTCTTCTCCAAGTCTCTCTTTGAACATCTTACTTCCCCATTAATGGCTGTCTAGGTTAGCTCTAAGTTCCTTCATGCCTCACTTGTCTTAATGCTGGCTTTTTTGGTAACTTGGATTCAGAAGAGCTATGTTTTTGGACTTAATCTTATTTTCTGGCTAATGGACACAAAAGTGAAAAGCTGGAGAAGTTGGAAGACAGGATTGATCCAGTAGTGCCATCTGTTTCCCATTTGTTTTCAGTCCCAGTGCAAAAATGAGGTGCATGGAATGGAAAACAAAGGTATGGGAAATTAACCCCCCCCCCCATTTAAGTATGACAAATACTTTATTTCTTTTAAAAACTGGATGGGTGGCTGGGATATTGTCCAAGATGGGACAGTCTTACAAACAGGATTGCCGTAAATTTGCTGGATTGGCTGGGAGTGGACAACCAGATAAGTATTTCATTAATACTGTAGTCCTCATCACAGTAGGTTCCATGTGTCATGCAAACCTGCTCTTAAGCTTTCTGAATGATGCTTCCATTTTTTTCTGTGAGCTAGCTAGCTGATAACATGTTTTTCCTCAGGTCAGCCAAACTGTCATAGGTATGGTAGAAAGGCAAGGAGGATGCCATTAATTAAACAAAGGCTTAACTTTTACCCAGTTCCTCAGAGTAGAACTACTACCTTGAATATTCAAGTAACTATTTTTTACTTTTGCTTTCAAAGTTCCATAAGAAATGTTCATATTCTCAAATCTATTTTGCATTATACTTCTTATATTTGGTTTTAATTTCTTATGAGTTGTTTTGTATTTTGTGTTACTAGGGTTTTGAATTAATTTCATTTTTTCCCCTTATGGTGGATGTTTTATTATACTGATGTTTTTACTGTGGGCATTTTCTTGTACGTTACTTTGTAAGCAGTGGGAAGTCTGACTGATGCAGCAACCTATGTGTTTAGTAAATAATAATAATGATGATAGTAGTAATAAAAAATCCAGACTTGGCTCTTCATAACTGGAAGGGCTGTGTCAATTCATGGAGGAATCCTGTGATGGATTCTATCACAGGCTTCCATTTGGAATATCTAGGATGAGATGGGGGAACAGAGGGGCAGGGGGACAGGAAAATAACTGCATGTTGTCCATGGTTAGAGATCATGACAAGTTGTGTTAATTTCCAAATGAACATAAACTCCCCAAATTCCTCCTGACTGTTGTGCCAGAGGAATAGGATGAAAACAAGGTGTGTGAATAATACGGTTTATTACAATACTTTTTATGGTTAGTCTGAATAAGGGTATCTTCTGTTTAATTATGCCTTGCTTGAAGCATTGGGGGGCATATTAATAAAAACATATCTTGGCAGGCAAATACTTTAGCATTCCTTTTCTTCATACAGTCACTTCAAATTATATGGTAAAGGAAATGCAGTGATTTATATCTCCAAATAACCTCTCTTTTTCTTACTGCATATCTGTGGCAATCAGAAATGAAGAAAGAAGCTCTAATTGTGGATGTCCTTAGAAGAAGCCCATCCAAATGACAAAAATGCTTTTCCTAAGACGTTTTTATCCATTTACAACAAGATGTTATAACTGTCGAACTAGGAGCAGCGACAGTTTGTTGAACAAACTAAATAACTTTACAAACGAACACCAGGTGTTCAGTCTTGTTTCAAACAACAGAGCCAGACTCTCTGAAAAACATGTGAGAAGTGCAATTAAGAAACTTGTGCAAGTTCAAAAGAAGAGGCCTTGGTCCTCAGAAACTATGGATTATATAAAAAGTCATTCCCAGTTTTTTGTACTTCGTATTTTAGCAGAAAATAAGATTGAATGTATGGATAATGAAGCATTAGTGGATGTGTTACATAGTATACTCTGGTAAGTAGTGTGAGATTTAATTGTAACTGCAGCATTTATTGTCTGATTTTATTTAAAAAACTGAATTGCTGTTGTATACACTTAGAGAAATATCCTGTTTGTTGCACAGACAAGCTTATTACACGCTAAAAGTTGCTTATAGAATTCTGTTCATAAATTTTAAAAAATGTTTAGTTTAAAAAAATGTTTAATTGATATTACTTCCAAGTTACAGCAGTTATAATAGGTTGTATTATAGTGTACTTTGCAAAACCTAAAGGAGTAAAACAGAGGTGTAATCAAGACAAAGTACAGAGCCCCACCCTCGCCACAGAAAATATAAGATCGGTTTAAAAAATTGCCTCTTGCATTGGGGAAATGCTGCAGGAGTAAAATGAAACAAAACTCCAGCATCTCATTTTTTCCTCAAGCATGTAGAATAAGAATATCAACCACTGATGTGGTTGATATTCAGCACAAGGCTGAATATGAAGAGGTTTTGTTAATGCATTTAAGCATTACTACATGTCTTTGAGTTTGCTAACAGTTAGAGAAACACTTTACAAATGGGTTGAGGGGGTTCAGAAATTGTCAGATGTTACTAATAAAAAGTATATTTTGAAAAGAGGAAAGTAGCACCCTATCTAAATTTGTGCATTAATCCATTAATTATAATACTTCATTGGTTAGCCATAAGGCCATATCAAAATACAAAATACAGAACAATAATAAGACTTTATAACAAAATAGAGTAAAAGGCCAGTTTTCAATATATAAAAAATATATGATAGTAAGTTGCAATTTTTTGTTCTCGATATATAAATTTAACTCTCTAAAATATCTATGTAGAGTTGTTTGGCTCACTTTTTATTCCTTCTGAAGGTTTGGAGTTGAGGCCCATGATTCACTGGTAGAAGAGCTGGTTGTAGAAGGTTGGAAGCGATTAAAAGAGCAAGTATACTTTTTATCTATTTCTTTTCCTATTAATTGAAAATTTAATATTTCATGCTTAGAATAAATCTCACAAAATTAGTACTAGCAACAATATCTTAATCCTTTCTCTTTTCATAGAACTTTGGAGTCTCAAATTGTGATTTAAGATAAATTTGCATGGATCATTGTATTAAAAGTAGAAGCTATAAATGTAAGAATATATCACTATGGCTATTGATTCAAGATAAACTATGAGTAACTTTAGACTGCAGTTCTAAATTCTTTATTCACTCCTTGGAGTTTGTCCAAACTGTGTGTGAACAAGGAGAGCAAACAAAAGTCTGCTGGTGGAGTTCAGTGGGAGGAAAAGACAAAGAAAGGAACGGTGTGACCAGCTGCTCATTTTGAGGGACCGTGTGTTCAACTTGAAGGGGTAAAAAGCTCATATCCTGATTGTGAGGGATGTGCCCTGATGGCTGCTGGTTGTCAATTGTGAGTGTTGAGTAAGCAGGAACTGTAGGAAGAATATAAGGCAGTCAGATGCTTCATTCGTAGTCCTGTGTATTTTGAAGCATCTTTTCCAAATTAAATCTGAAGCATTACACAGCCTTAAATACTACAGGTATGCAGTATTTGGATCTGAAGCAAGAAATGTACTTTGAATCCAGCATATTTGGAGTGCCTTATGCGAGAGCTGAACTGATCGTAAGTTTAATAGCAATTCCTTAAAGAATGGAAATGGTGGATATTTGAACTAGAAATTTATGGTGAAAGCTAATTCCAATTGTTTTATATCCTGCAGTTTTTGAATGCTTTCTGGAAGGCTTTTCTCCCTTTACTTGAGCAAATTCAGGGACTGTATATGGTGCTCATGGAGAAATACTGAAAATTGTCCTAGTTTGTATACACATATGTAGAGCTTTGGCACAATAACTTATTTTCTTTGGTATCCTCAGATTGAGTCCACCTCTGCTATCTAAATTTGCATTGTGTGTGCATGAACAACATCTGCAGCATAGTCCACTCATGGGTGAAATAGCTGATATAGTAGATAAGAATTTGGATTCCATACAGGATTCAAGGTAATTGTGGTTTAATAAATATTCCAGACACAGATTCATGATTTTTTCTAAGATTAAATGCAGGGAATGAATAAAGGATGCATGCCCTCAGTGTTCCCATGAACCCAGCTTTGGGTATGTAGAGCATAGATCTTAAAAGAACCTGAAAGGAAGTTTAATTAAATCCTCTGTGTATTCCTCACCCCTATCTTATTTTAGAACTGATGTATAATTGAACATGCCCTGTTGTGGACACAACATAGTTTGGAGTTTTTAAATAATACCTGCAGTACTTCCAAAGTGTAGTTCAAAAAATAATTCTTAAAATATGAGTTAATGTCCCTGTTCATTGATTGGTGGGATTATTTTAAATGGCTAAGGATTCACTTGCTTTTTAATTGGGAATGGCAATAAGTGCAAGAACTGTACAAAAACATTATGTAGCCCTGGGTTTCCTACAGTTCTTTGGAAATGCAGTTAGCTTGCTGAATCTTAAATGGTTGGCCAGCTGAACGTTGTTTCTAGAATCTTGCATCTTAAGCCTAGCCATATGTAACTTGCCTGTAAATCAGTAGTATTACTTCAGTGGCAGATATGCAGCTGAGACTAAGATAGCCTTGTAACCTGAAGTAGGGATACATTGGTTTACAAATCAATCTCCTATAGCACACATATCTATTCAGAAGTAAGGCCCTTTGGATAAACCCAGTGAAGCTTAATCTCAATGGAGCAGTCTTAGTTACTATCCCACTTGAACTTAAGTGTGTACAAATTATTTCAGTTGTTCTGCCTGCAAATACTGTAGTCCTCATAACAATGAAAAATAATTAGGCAGGTTTTTTTACAGAAGAATGGCATTGCTGAAAGCAAGAAGCATTCTTTGCTGTGTAACATTTGTCTGCTCCCAATTTCAAGTAGATACTTAATATACAGGTAGTCCTCCACTTACAACCACAATAGGGACCAGAAAATTTGTTGTTAAGTGGTACAGTAATTAAACATGACTGCATACAATTTTATGACATTTTTGTGGCAGTTGTTAAGCAAATCACATGGTTGTTAAGTGAATCATGCGGTTCCCCATTGATTTTGCTTGTTGGAAGCCCCCTGGGAAGGTAGCAAATGGCAATCATGTGACCCCGGGATGCTGTAGCCGTCATAAATACATGGCAGTTGCCGAGCATCTGAATTTTGATCATGTGACCACAGGGACGCTGCAGCAGTTGTAAATGCGAGGACTAGTTGCAAGTCACTTTTTTCAATGCTGTTGTAACTTCAAACGGTTGCTAAATGAATGGTCCTAAGTCAAAGACTACCTGTACATGCTCTAATATATCCTGTTAAAAATTATCTTCTCTTTCCTTTTTACTGTAATGCCATTTTCTTCAGCATTGTTAGATTTCCAGATGAAATAAATAAGCATAACATTTTAAAAATGTTTTTAGGGCCTTATCAGTTGTAATGAACTGCATATCTTCTGTTACCTCACGGAATTTACAAAGCCGGTTAATGGAAAAGGCAGAAGTCTTGTTTGAAAAAACACACGTCTCTGTGAATGATGCCAGGCGATTTGTACAGTTTCTCCGGAATGTCAATTTTCTGCATTGGCCACTGCTAGAAAAATGTAACAGAATTTTTGTCCAGCGTTCAAATGAGTTACGTATTGAAGACTTTTCTATCATTCTTGGACTGTACCAGAATTTACAATTCAACAACACTGAATTTAAATTACTTGCCAAACAAAAGCTGATAGAAGCTAAGGATAATTGCAGTAGTCCACTGAATGTCTTTCAACTGTTTATTAATCTTGCACCCATGGCACAGCCAGAGATCCAGAAAGAGTAAGTTTCTCTTACTGCTTTATTTGTGCATTTTCTTTTAAAGAATTATGAAAAAGTTTGAAATTGTGAGTGGCCTACATGTACACTGTTGATATTGAGGGGTTATTTCCTCATAAGTACAGGCTGTACAGTAATCCAGGAAATCAAAATGTTAAGTGTCAGTGAATTACCTTCAGAGGGAAACACCCTTTGGATTACGTTCTTTGCAGGTTGTTGCCCTGGCTTCAAGGCAGGTGACTGCCTGTGTGCAGGAGAATTGCTCTTCCCTTTCCCTTTCCCTTTCTCCTCCTCCTCCTCCTCCTCCCCCTCCCTGAAAAACAAATCCTCATGTGGATCAGAGGCATTTTAAAGTGCCTTATTCTCCCTCAAACCTAAAGAAGGCGCTTAGATAATCACAAACAACATGCAAAGAGGTCCCGGCAGTTTTATTCCTCAAAAACTGGAATATGCTTTGGGAGTCATACAGACAAAAGTGTGATGCTGATACACACCTTCCAGGAATAGCACAGGCCAGCACGATTGTTAGGACACCAGCAGT